AAAAAAAACTGTCCCAAGTCCATGTTCGAACCTTTAAAGGGGCTGGACAGTAACTGAGTCTAATAAAAATTAACATTGAAGATGCCATAACAGGTGCATAATATTATGAGGACTTGCCTGGTTTAGAAACTCGACAACCATATTAGTTCCCCATTCATCCATGCCCAGCAAATGCATGTTTCGAAAGTGAAGCACCAGTTTTCCTTTCTTCGGTTTAAGTATTGTGCCTTTAAAGGTGGTTATTGCAAGGCAATGCTGAAAAGCATTTAAAAACGCCACCGATTACGCTGATTGATAAGTTCAGATAATTAATACCTGATGCAACTTGTGCATTATGTAATTCGTCGATAAGTTAGAACTGCAGTTAATTTCAACTAGAGAAACATCGGATTGCTCCTTTGTCAGGTGCTGCACCAGTAATCTGCAATTTTTCGTTATATCAACAATAAATCGCCGCTTTTTTGGGGGTGTTGTACCTTTTCGCGCATCCATGCGGTCCAGCAAGCAGCAAATGTTCCCCAAAGGAATCAACTAGAAAAGGTTCCAGAATGTCTAAGTATTTGAGGACTTGCCCGGTCTGCATTAGAGGAATGCCATGCCGACCATCTTCAACGGTCATCTGGGGATCAGTATGGTAAGTTTCAATGTCATGCCTGTTTTCGTCGTAATACAACTTCAGCGCGAAATTTGGCGCAGTTTCATCAAACCACTCAAAAACCTTTAAAACGATCCAAATGAAAAATCCGTTTGGGAATGAAGGTGTTAACCCACTTTTTCAGCAAACAGTTGTCTGTATTCTGGCTTCAACTGTTGCCCCACACCATTAATCAGAGCGACTATGAACTCGGTCTTGCTTCTAGCGTCCTCCACTTGAACAAGGGCTGTTTTGGCCACCGAAATTATACTCCTCCTTATGGCAATTTCCCCATCTTTCATGGCCCATTCGACCCCTACAAATCCCCATCAAATAAACCCTGGAAACTTGTTTTGGCGCACCTTTAGAAAATTCGCCCATGAACGCTTCCAAATGCCCCAGCTTAGCAGCAGACAATCTTTGGGCTCTCAGCTGGGCATTGACAAAATCGCCCAGGTTCACATCTTCAGCTCCAAGATACACGATCCCAATTCTGGAAATAGTTGCCGGCGACGCGTTTTTCAGGTTGTGAGTTTCAAAGACAAAGTTCACATTTGGGCCGAAATGGATTCGCCAACCGGATGGCAAAGTCATCAGTCTATTGTCGTCCAGAACGGAATTGAGCGACTCCACCCATTCCGGATCGATGTCTCCATCGCAGATAATCCACGACCACGCATCTAAAACCGTTCAGTTCCTTCGCCGTCCTGATCGCAAAGTGAACACATACCTTCAGCCTCTGCAGACACTTGCAGGCTGTAACTAGTCAAAACGCCGTCATTCCACTGGTTTAGATGATCCATGTATCCCAGAAGGTGCTGGCGCGACATGCTCTTAGGATTAACCGGGTAGGTCTTCAGCTTCTTCTGTAGTTTTGCTATTGCCTGAAAAGTGAGGAGGGAAGTTAGTTGGGAAATGCAACCAATGGTGATTCTGGTGATACCTTGGCTGCAATGGAAATGATGGTGGTTTTTCCGGAGCTGGGAGGTCCGATTATGGCTACTCCCATTCGTTGCGTCAGCTGCTTGTAGAACTCCAAACATTTGTTTACCTGTCGTTCATTGGGGCACAGCTTCAGCTCTTTGTAGCATTCTAAAATAGCGACTTTTAGCGGCTGGTCCTCCAAAGTTTCCACCGGAATGTCCTTAAAAGTGTTAGCGATGATCTCATTGAATTTCAGAGTGTCGAAGAAAGTAAGTTTCGAAACAATGTCCATCCGCAGAGTGCTGACTACAATGCCCAGCTCCTCTGTTGCCGATAGGGTTTTCGCTTCGCTGGAGGTGTTGATTTTTTTTAGCGCCATTTGGCACCCGGATAAAACCGTTTTGATTGCCCTTAAGCCCCAGTCGTAATGCTGCTGTTTGCTCAGAAGTTTACTGGAATAGCAAAGTGATAAAAAGTCGACTGTTTGGAGCGACTTTTGATACCTTGATATATCAAAAACTTCGACGACTTTCTTGGCTATAACATCGGCATATCGGTACCCGTCGCAATGCAACGATGTTCGGGCGATTTCCTCGTGATCTGGATGGGTCATGACCACGGGCCGAAAGAGTTGCTTCAGATTATCCGGGAGTTTATTTCGGCCCCCATAACCTGCTCCTGCGGGGTTTAGAGTCACGAATATTCCACAGTGTCTATCAACTGGAACCTGCAGGATTCAATAACCCGCAAAATATGAAGAAACTTCATCCAAACTATTCCCACCTCTTGATCGCCGATGCTCACAGCTTTAGAGCTGTTCCTTAGCGCCTCTTGTATGGCGTGTATGTTCATGGATATGGCAGAAAGTGTGGTTTCATCCAACCGGTTGAATTCATCGAAACATCCCCATGCGCCAGTTTTAACTAAGCCAGTCAGTATCCTTTCCATTGAATTAACATCGATGCCCTAAAAGTTACCGGGCTCTTAAGCGGCGAAACGCCGAAAAAATGAGAGTCTCACTTCGTCGCAGTTGAAAACCAGCACTTGGCGCCCCAAAATCGCCCCTAAAGCCTTAACGGATTCAGTTTTACCCGTGCCAGCTGGCCCATATGGATTTCCTCCTAGCCCCAAGTGCATAGCCTAAGGTTCCATGGAACGACATAAGATTTATAATGTCCAGAGTACAAATTGTTGAAGATTACCTGAGTTAGAGTCAAAAAGCACCGTTCAGTCAGGGGTGTTCGAACCAGTTTCGGCTCGTTTCCCAAATATTCATACGAGTACATCATTCGAGCTTTTGCCATTTTTATGGTCACATCACCTACAGAATTCGCGTAATATCTGAAAAAATTAATGTGGTTTTAGTAGTGATTTTCCTTCTCCACAAAAAATGTATCTTAAGGCAAATGTGGCCATGAATTCATAATTATAACTGTGTTATAAACAAAACATGTCGTCTTAAGAAGACTAGCATTTTATTTTATAATTTACTCCAATAAATTTAAAGTTAATTATAATTCGTTTACCTTAGTTGTTTTTGCCATATCCATTCACTAACTTTTGTCACATTTTTGCTTAACAACTCATCCAAAACTCGTATATGATGGATGGTGTCGAGAAGAAGCGCCTTTAGCTTCAATTCTAAGACATTTGAGTCGTCTTTCGACGACATTTCTGCAGAAGAATTTAGTTCTAAAGAACTTAAATCGTTTAATTGTGCCTGAAATTTAATGAGTGTTAGTAAGCTCATAGTAAACGTTTATTAAAGTATTCCATTGGATTAGAAGCTAGATTTATTTTCCTGACTGCGTGTACTTGTTATGATATTCTTAACTTCCCTGGGTCTCAGTCAAAGTGTAAAGTAAAAATTTTTGAATATCTTCTTGAAA